TAGTCATGTTCAGCAAGCCTTCGCTACAGCCACCAGTTCAAAATCCTAGTCGGATAGATGCTGTACACAAAAATGGAAATAGAGGCCTGTAGTTAACGTGAAGAAGACCTGTAATATGCATGTGACAAGTTCTCTTAAATTACTGGCACATGACAATAAGGAATCTGGTCAAACAGTAGCTCCAGCTTGTGAACCTCATATAATTACATATACTGGAGTCATATGTAGGGATATTTTTCTGTAAACCTGTGAAATTGAGACTTACTGACCATTTTAGTTCCGTACTGTTGTTTCATTCATTCACCCAAATACTGAAGGTATTTCCTGAACCTTCATAGGTTATTCTAACACTGCGAAACCAAAAATAATCTGGTACGGTCCAGGAAAAATATAATTTTGATCAGTTTCTCGGCTATGTCCATTCATCTCATATATACAAAGATGGCAACAGGAAATGACGTCGTCAATCTGGCTTTGTGTGAAAGTGGCTCTGCCGTTGACTGGGCTCGGCTTTCACAAAAAACAAAAAAGCAAGAGAGAAAAGAAAGAAGTTGGTTTACCCGAGACATTGACAAACATTATATTTTTCCTGGCCTGGAACAGATTGTTTTTGATTCGTTGGAAGAGTCTATGGTGATTCCGCAAATACCTTCAGAATTTGGTTAAGTGAAATGACAGTACGGGATTAAAATGGTCGGCAACTCTCAATTTCACAGGCTAACAGAAGATTATCTCTGTGACATGAGTCTATGTAATGCATGAGAGTCACAAGCTGGGGCTAGTCAAACAAGTGGTTTCTGCACAAGGCCCAGAGTTGATAGTAAACTACAGAAATTGTGTTCCAAAGCAGAGATGTGGACGGGGTCAAAGCAGAAGCCAAGAACTGGGTTTCAGATGGGACAGCACTTGAATCTGAAAAGGGGTTGGTTTTAGCTGGCCTTACATAATCTTTCTGACATGTTTCTAATGCTGACTGTTCAATACTCTTTGTACCTAACTTTAGAAACGACATTGTACAAAAAAAAGAAAAGAAAAGAAAAAGAAACATTTGTTATCTGTTATTTGAATCAGAACATGGTAATAATATGTGACGAGTTGTCTTTTTACCATAACGGGTCTTCTTTGTTACTCTGCAATATATCAAAACACATTTTTTTTGCAGTATTTTGTAGATTCAAGACCTCAAAAATTTTATTCTTTTTATGTACTATATATATATATATATATATATAT